GCTGGAGGACCACACTTGCCACACGGCAGATGCCAGGACTTAGGAGGATGTGCCCCATGATTCCTCAAAAGGAAGGACACTCCTGTGATAGGAATTTTATGGTCTTAGATATATGGTAGTGTTCATAAGCGTACCAACCAAGCACAGTACAGGAAGACCAACCTGGAACCATTTTGATTCCTAAACTGAGTAAATGTTTTCTCTACAAGGTGAAAATGGGAAACCTCCCCATTGTCTCTTTCCTCATAAATCCTGTCTTAAGGGCACATTTAAGATATGAATAGGGTGTGAGCCTGTGACATTGCCCAGGAACTAAGTACTGTACTCTTCGCTCTATAAGATGCACCAGACCATAAGACCATAGTTTTGGGAGGAGGAAAACAAGAAAAAAAAATATCCTGACTCCCAGAAGCCAGAACAGCAAGAGGGATCGCTGTGCAACAAAAGCAATGATCCTTCTTGCTGTTCTGGCTTCTGGGATAGCTGTGCAGCCTGCATTCGCGCCATAAGACGCACAAACATTTCCCCTTACTTTTTAGGAGGGAAAAAGTGAGTATTATAGAGCAAAAAATACGGTATTTATCATTACAATACCCGCCCTCCTTTCGCCACAGGTGGATGGGGTTTGCGGCACCGAGCAAGGCTCACCTGGGCGGGTGCCACCCACCTGCTTGAGCTGGCCTTTGACCCGTCCTCGGCCAGGGAGGACAATGGAGGGCCGGCCGGGGTGGGCCTAAGGCCAAAAGGAAAAGAGGCTGACTGCTGGGCTCAAGCCTCTTTTGCCGTTCTTCCTTCCAGGATCAGGATCAAGATCAGGAGCGTGTCCAGCGGCCGGACTGAGGTAAGTAACCAGCCTTCTTTACTTTTGCCTGGGGGAGGGATTTGCCCCTCCGCCAGGCTAGGCCGCATTTTGCGTGCTCGGTTAGGCACGTTGCGGCCTTTTTTGGAGCTTTTCCCTGGCAGCAGTGGGGGGAGGGGAGTCGGCTCTTCCACCGGCAGCTGCTTGCCCAGGGCGCTGCCAGCCCGAGTGGGCAGCACGGCCCCTGAGTAGGCAGCTAGGTCGGCCTACCAGCCTTTTGTGATGGCCAGCGGTGGTGTGGGCCCCAGCTGGGCCGCAGCCGCGGTCTGCTTGCATTTGGGCGGTTGCGGGGGGGGCATCGCTCCCCTCCGCCACCTGCCCGGTGCCCCTTCCTACCCAGGCGGGTGACGCGGGGCTCCAGCAAGGCCACGGCCTACTTGCTTTTACAGTGGGGGGTGGCACCGGGAGGGCGGCGCGGGCCTGACTAGGCCGCAAAACGCAGCCTAGTCACTTTTTGCAGTGGCAGGGGGGCGGCATTGCCCCCTGCCACTGCCTGCCAGCCCAGGAGGGCGGTGTGGGCCCGACTAGGCCGCAAAACCTGTGACATTGAGCCTGTGACATTGCCCAGGAACTAAGTATTAATCATTACAAAGGACTGGCCAGGCTACCCAGGCAATCCAATCAAGTAACCTGCCAGACAGGAGAAAATCAACATTCAAATTTCTGTTTTAAAGACCGCCTTTTCTGTGATGTAGGTGTGATGTATCTGAGGGGTGGTCTTAGGTTACACCCCTTCTGTGATCTATGTATGATGTTTCTGGGGGTGGTCTTGATCTACAGGGTGGCAATTTCAAAAGTCTTTATAAGGCCTTGCACGACATTTTTCTGGGTTCCTCCTCCTCTCCTGCGGGTGAGGGGAGCACTCAATTGCAACAGATCAATAAAGATCACGCTTACTAGCTGCTTTTCTTCTCAATATTCTCTGGGTGGCCTCTGTTATTTTCTCCTACCAATAGGGAACCTATGTATGGACTTTATATGGGCTCTTGGACAACCCATAAGGGAAAAGGGCAATGTTGTTTAAAACACTCCGCTCTCTACAAATGGCTAGGGAACCACGGGTGATGGGGAGGTTGCATATTCAGCCTTCCAGGAAGAACATCGTGGCAGTTTGAAGGCGACCGCTCGATCCAATGGTGGATGGGGTGGTAATCTTCTAAATAAATCAGCAAACGTAGTGGCACTGCTGCCAAGAGGGGCAGGAAGAATGTCATGGCAATGTGGAGAAGAGCCTGGACCCCTCCAACTGGCCAGGGAAGGAACAGCTGCAGGCAACTTGCTCCCTGCCCTCCCATCTCCAGCTCCAACAACTGTCAGTTGTCTTCGGACTGTAAGGCTGAAAGGAATCACATTCTGGTGCCCATCCAGCAGGCCAAGGACTAATGGTTGCTGAGTTGGGGAAGTTTGTCTAAGACCTTGCACAATCTCATAGGTTATTTTTATCACCAGAAGAACAATCAAGATGGGACAACAATTCTTCTTCTTGAATCATTTTTGAATCATAAATATTCTGCACCACAGTACACGTCCTGTATTAGAATTAGAGGGTTCTCATTTTGACTGTAAGTCACCTCCTCCCCCCCCCCCGCACCGGTTTCCTGGGCAAAGAGTGCAGAACACACACAACCCTACCTGGGATAAGGATTGAAGACCAGCCTGGTTAAGAAAGAGTTTAACCTTTCTGATGCCAACAGGAGCAGCTGGCGAGGCAAAATCCTACAGTGCCACTACCCCTCCCAACAGCAGTGTCACTGGGGCAGTGTGGGAGGCAGAGCAGGGCAGGAAGTTGGGGCTAGGTGGGTGCACTGGGAGGGCCCCTGCTGGGGTGCCCACACAGCCCCAGTCATGCTGAACCCCCTGCCCTGCCCCATCCCAGCAAGCAGCAGTGACCCTGCTGTCATGGTGGCAGCAACACACCACTGCTTCACCACACTGGCTGTTCCTGGTTGCCAGTAAGCATAATAATGTATCCAGGACGGAGGTGCAGAAATGTAAGTGATGGGGACAACCTTTAGCCCAAGTTTATTTATAAGCTATTCTGCATAGACACAGAATCTCATGCTCCAAAGGAGAGTATTTGCATGGGCAAATAATTACATGCATCAAGGTTCCACAGCATGGTCAGTCAATGAGGACATCAGCACAGTACAATACCATTAGCTCCATAGATTAAGTGTTCACTGAACAAGAGAATGTTAAAAAGCTCAGATACATCACATTGCCAAAGCAGAGCCAACCATCAGTGGAGCATGTTGACGTTAGCCCTTTGGGTGCCTTTGGGTGCAGGGTGCAAGCTGCTCCTTCTCAAAGTGGCTTTCCCTCCTGATCTCTCCTGCTGCCCACGCTCTGCAGCAGAACCCACACGAATGTCCTTCCCCACATGGAAGCCACTTGTTCAGAAACGACACACTGGACCAAACACCCCTGCTCTCGGTTGGAAGAGGGCAAGGAGACACAGCGTCTCCCAAGGGACCTAGAAGCAGCCTGGCATTAAAACAGCAACAACCAGCTACACAAGGAAAATCCTGCTGCCCATGCAAACTCCAACAGATGGCACTTTGAAATAGGTGAACTCCAAAATCCCAGTTCTTTATTTAAAGCAATCTTTATTGTTGAAGTTTTATCAGGCAGCAGGATTATTATTATTATTAATAATAATAATCCAATGCAGAACAAGAAAATCTTTAATAAAATAATAATAATAATAATAATAAGAAGAAGAAGAAGAAGAAGAAGAAGAAGAAGAAGATTATTTCAGGCAGGATCTCTCTCAGTCCCACCAGGAGTTGCTGGGACTGAACCTGATGCCTTCTGCATGCTAAGCAGTTGTTCTACCTCTGAGCTATGGCCCTAGCTCACAATATTGCTGTCAGGATAAAATGGAGAAGGTGGAGGCAGAAGTGTATATGCTCTGTGGAGGAAAGGTGGGATAGAAGTGTAAGAAGGAATAAAGTATGTAAACTAGCCTACAAGTGAATAAACTACAGTATATTTTTAACTTACTCTCCTAATAATTTGTGTATAAATTATAAAAGTGGCATATAAATTTTGTTAAATAAAAAAAGAGGAAACAGTATGTTATTCCTGAGCCTTCATTGCTAAAACTCCCAACAGCATTTTCATGCTCACAAACACCTGATGAAGGCTTAAGGAACCATTGTGACATAACCCATTCAAGCAGATTTAAGGGGCAACAGGCTGTCAACAGTGGTAGTAGTTGGGAGCTCCCAGCTATTGAAAAGCCACATAGAGTCTTTTCATACTTCCTGAGGAATTAATTCTTTATTGAACGTTCCTAATTGCTGGATCGATTTAACAGGACTGGAGCTAACATTTGCTTGGATTTGGCCCCATTGATAGGGAACTGCCTGCTGCGTCCTCCTCTTTGAAATCACCCTGGTCTTTGGGCCTCCAGCACCTTCTTCAACATGTCCAACACATCTAAGAGGCGTATGATACTGGTGTTCCACTGGATTAGCAAGAAGTCCCTGACAGAGAAGCCGTGCTCTACCATCTCGGCCAGACCTTCTGCCTCTGCTTGCAACACTCCTCACATTTCACCCTACTTCACGAGGAGCAAGACACAACCCGCTCCGCTCAGGAGGTCCAGCAGGCGCAAGGTGCTGCGATTTCCGAATCTCACCGACACCAAGATTTTAAGATCTGTCATTGGCAGCGTTGGCCGGAAGAGAGCCCACAGGCGTGGCAAGCCAAAGAAGACTCCAGCGTAAACAGGAAAAGGGGAAGCGGCCTACTGGAGTTGCCATTGACAACTACTCTCAGCCTCCTTTTCCCCCTTCTGGCCCAGCATGCTTTGCGCGCACCCAACATGGCGGCGCCCAGCCCCAGCACGTCCCGACCGGCATCCGCTATCCCTTTCCCCTTCTCCGCCTCGACGGCTGGGGCTGAAAAACCCACAGAGGGGCAGCCTCTGCCGGCTGCCAAACCGAATAAGAAGAAGCCGCCCTGTCGGGCCTGCACGGACTTCAGGAGTTGGAATATTGTCTAATATTGTCTTTATTACTGTTCTGTTTGTATTCTTGTATTGTTTTTTTTCTTTTTTTGAGTATCAATTAAATAAAAATAATAAAAACCAATACCCTGGACCAATCAGCAATCCATGGCTTTGTAGGAGAGGAGGAGGGTGGCTGCTGTCACAAAAAATAGTGGAGAGTAGTAAGAGAAAATTCTGCAAAGTGGACTTTTCTCTTTTGGGGACAGAACATGAAAAATCTCAGGCATTTTCTTAGAAAATCTAACCTTTGTTATCATGGTCAATGATCATCATTAAGAAACTGGGATAAAACAACTCTAATGTGCCTTTGATGTGTTTATTGATAAATACTAATTCTGCATCAGCACAGTACAATACCATTAGCTCCGTAGATTAAGTGTTCATTGAGCAAAAGAATGTTAAAAAGCTCAGATACATCACATTGCCAAAGCAGAGCCAACCATCAGTGGACCATGTTGACGTTAGCCTTTGGCAGAAACTGAACACAGGGAGTCAGAAGTGATGTTGACCAGGGAGTTTCAGTGCCTGTCATGTAACAGATGGCTGGATGCAAATATTTATCTCACTAGTAAGGTATACATGGTGGTGGTGCACTAGACTGGGCTGAATCCAGAACTGAATGGGGCCTATTCTGGGGGATCCATGGTTCACCTGAATCAGATGGAGGCAGCTCCGAATTGCTGTGGGTCAGGTGAGGTGACCCAGAGGGATCCAGGACTGTCAGAGGGTGGGGTGTTGGATGAGCAGAGGCAGGAAGAAAGAGGTTGGGAAGCAAGAAGGAGAAGCAGTGAAAAGGCCTAGGAGGAGAGAAGATGGACGCACTGGGCTGACTGTATCTTCCCAGGAGAAGTTAGGGGTGGGGTGCCTTTGGGTTCAGGGTGCAAGCTGCTCCTTCTCAAAGTGGCTTCCCCTCCTGATCTCTCCTGCTGCCTGCCCACGCTCTGCAGCAGAACCCACACGAATGTCCTTCCCCACATGGAAGCCACTTGTTCAGAAACGACACACTGGACCAAACACCCCTGCTCTCGGTTGGAAGAGGGCAAGGAGACACAGCGTCTCCCAAGGGACCTAGAAGCAGCCTGGCATTAAAACAGCAACAACCAGCTACACAAGGAAAATCCTGCTGCCCATGCAAACTCCAACAGATGGCACTTTGAAATAGGTGAACTCCAAAATCCCAGCTTTTTATTTAAAGCAATCTTTATTATTGAAGTGTTATCAGGCAGCGGGATTATTATTATTATTATTATTATTATTAATCCAATGCAGCCTTTAAAAAGAGACCCTTACATTTGCGATTTGTGCAGCATCACATTTCAAGGTGTTCCAGAAGCTCAGTTTACTCTTCCATCATGCTTCTTTCCAGTTAGGCATCTTCTTTCTTTCTTTCTTTCTTTCTTTCTTTCTTTCTTTCTTTCACAAAGCTTGCTCATTTTCTTGGGAACATTTTCCTGTAAGAAACAATTAAAAGGCTATTGCAATATTCTTACTTATCCCCTCATCCTTTTCATCTTCCCCTTCCTTGGCTTTTGGATTTTGTGGCAGCAAAATAGCTATTTAATCCAGGTAAGTCATGTTAAAGGCTCTGAGACAGCCCTAGTATTGGTAAACTGCAGATGGTGTAGCCCAATGCCTGATATTGGGAGAAGAGGGCTCAGAATCAGGCTGGATTAAAAACTGCAGGGACAAAGAGGTGCTGCACCTGGCATTTGCGCCCCCCCCCCCGCCCAGTCCAGCTACCAAGATTGTGCAAGTGGTAAGAAAATCAGTTTGGGGTGGATGGAACTATGAGTTTCACTTCTTTCAGTTTCTCATTTTTCCAGGTTTAAATTCAGCTCTCCACACTTCCGCAGCAATTTTTAAAACGCGTTGTTGTTTTTTAATCCTGATAAAAACCTGTCAGCATTTTCGTGTGGATTTCTATTAATAAACATATTTCTGTATACCTAATGTACACATTTTTGCAGAAGAATCTGCCCATTTTATAGTGCATTTTGATCACATGACCTGGCTCGAGAGTCATGATTAAAATATAGAGGTTATTAAGACATATAAAGAGGTTTTATATGTATTCTTGCATGCCACCCCAATCTCCAAGTGGTGTGAAATTCCCGGGGTTCCAGGTGCTTACCTAGGGTTTATGTTTCCTTCGGAACGAGGCACAGCAGAGACTGTGGTGTCTTTATGATATATAGTTTATTTACACATATATACAACTTGAGCCTACAATGGAGGGGTCAAAGCATTAACACCCTAATAGGTTCGTTTCTCCCATAACTGTAGCCTTGGATTCAAGCAGAAATCAAACATTGCTCTGACTCTCTCTTCAGCTTGCTGCTTTTCTTCTAGTTCACATTCCTGCACTCTCTGTTCTTGTCTTTCTAACTACTGCAAGTTGAGGGAGGGGCCCCATCAATTAGCCGTCTTGCACAGAGCCCCTTTCCTTTGCTCCCCTTAATGGCTCATCTCCCAGGCAATCACCTCATCATGAAGGTAAAAAGGTAAAGGGTAAAGGGACCCCTGACCATTAGGTCCAGTCGTGACCAACTCTGGGGTTGCGGCGCTCATCTTGCTTTATTGGCCGAGGGAGCCGGCGTACATGTGGCCAGCATGACTAAGCCGCTTCTGGCGAACCAGAGCAGCACACGGAAACGCCGTTGACCTTCCCGTCGGTGCGGTACCTATTTATCTAATTGCACTTTGACGTGCTTTCAAACTGCTAGGTTGGCAGGAGCAGGGACTGAGCAACGGGAGCTCACCCTGTCATGGGGATTCGAACCGCCGACCTTCTGATTGGCAAGTCCTAGGCTCTGTGGTTTAACCCACAGCGCCACCCGCATCCCATCATGAAGGTAGCCTGGCTTATATTTTAACACTTGCTTGATCCAGGGGTTATAATGGTCTCGGCATAGAGCCTGCTCTCCCCTCCCTCCAAACTCATAACACTATTTTTGAGCTAACGATATTGCCTCTTCTCCCCCAAATTGTGACATCCACGTGTGATTTCTCACTCATATTTATTGTTACTTTTCCTCTCCCGCCTGCTGCCACAATTAGCCCCCCTCTTGTGGCTTCTGATTACTGCATTTTCTGGGTGGTCACCAGCCAGTTGGGGAACTATACAATGAAACAAGATGAAATCACAGTGCAGTGCAACGCAACCAATCATGTTTGTCGATGTGATGACATCACTGGAGGGCAAACAAAACTAATTGGCAATGCTTTTTTGAGCAGCACTGCCCAAATGGTGGCCACTTTTGCTTTGAGTAATCAACTGCTCACATCTGGGGCGGATCTACACGCATGGTTTATAACGTTAAGGAAGGATTAAGGAATGCTTTTCATAACGTAGTGGTCACATTACGTTTTGCTTGTAACATTAATAATGTGTTATTCAAATGTGACACCAAAGGGTGCTGCAGGGAAACCAGGAACCAGCAGTAATGGAAACTGCATTGCTATGGAAGAACATTTTTTAATTCACCAGTATGCCCTGTGACATTTTTGAAAGATATATCTAATATTGTTCTAATAACGTTAGAAAGGTCAGTGTAGATCCAGCCCTGCTTTCATATTGGTACAATAGCCAATATACAGCTCTCAGCCATATCTGTACTGATGATCATGTGTGGCTAGCTAAGGAAATTACAATACCTTTTCTTTTTTCTACCTTCCCGCATGCATTGGCCCAGTCGTCTACTAGGATGGGAGAAACCAGGTCAGCAAACTTTGGCAGGGGACACGCAGATGAGCAACCTGGAAGAGTTTGTTGATAGGGGTCCTTCATAGTGTGATTCCGAAAATACATTTCAACGGTTTGCTCTCTGATTTGCAGAACCAAGGAAAAAAAGAAGAAGGAAAATGTAGCATAAGTTAAATTAAAACGATATGAGGAGTGCTATTCAGGAATGAAATGGAAAGGCTTCGACAGCCACAATTATTCGAGAACAACTAAACCCAGAGTCTGTAAGACCACACAGGCAAAAGCAGATCTCAGTCTTGACCTGGGCAATGTATGGCAATTAAAACCTCTCAGTTGTATTGTAATGAGTCTAGGGTTAAACTAAATGGGTTTTGGGGGGTACCCAGCTATTAAGATTCCTCATAGAAATACATTTTCAGCTCCTGCCCTCCCCAGCTTCCAAAGTGAGGTGAGCGAAAAGTGCATGGGTAGCTCGGTTGGTCAGAGCAAGGTGCTGATAAAGCCAAAGTTGCAGGTTCGAACCCTATATGGGACAGCTGCATATTCCTGCATTACAGGGGTTGAACTAGATGACCCTCGGGGTCCCTTCTGACTCTACAATGTTATGATTCTATGACAGGCCCTTTTTGGTTGAGATGTCCTGACATTGACGCACACACACCAAACTCCTGTTTGGTGCTGAGCTTGGTGGCTGATATTTTAGGCTGTCCTTATTTATCTATATTGCTGCCCATGTTTTAACCACATTAGTCACTAAGAGATTTAAAAATAAATAAATTTGAAAAGCTAGGTAGACAAAACGCCATTGTGATTTTGGGCCCTAGATTTAAGCCTTGTGCATTTTAGGGGAACAGTACATGGACAGTAATTTTAGAATTTGAATGCACACATAACGGGAAAAGTTGCAATTGTTGAGGAAACAATAGAATACTTGCCCATTATCTTCTTGATACAGTTCAAAAAACTGGCAAGCTGCATATGGTGGCAGCTTTTCGTTGTAGATATTGAGTGCCATCTGCAAGGCACCAAGTGTAGTGTCGTGCTGTGAAAAAGAAACCCAAACATACATCTGTAAAGTATTGTGAATGAAGGCAGCTTCTAAAGGTAACTATTGGTGATATTGCTAATTTGAAACCTTTTCATTAATTGCTAGATGCAGAACATGGTTCAGCAGACTTGAGAATGTATAACATATCTTCTTCCTTCACCCATTCTCCATCTCTCTCTCTCCTCTCTCTCTCTCTCTCTCTCTCTCTCTCTCTCTCTCACACACACACACGCACACAGAAAGATACAGACAGACAGAATCTAGACACATATAAAAAAAGTTGTGAAAATGCTTTTTTTAAAAAAAAAAAGTTTGAAAAAAATATAGAATTTGCCATAGCTCACCATCACCATCTAGTGTCACATTTGTATAATGCATTTTAAAGGTAAAGGTACCCCTGCCTGTACGGGCCAGTCTTGACAGACTCTAGGGTTGTGCGCTCATCTCACTCTAGAGGCCGGGAGGACAGCGCTGTCCGGGTAACGTGGCCAGCGTGACGAAGCTGCTCCGGCGAACCGGCACCAGAGCAGCACACGGAACGCCGTTTACCTTCCCGCTATAAAGCGGTACCTATTTATCTACTTGCACTTTGATGTGCTTTTGAACTGCTAGGTGGGCAGGAGCTGGGACCGAGTGACGGGAGCTCACCCCGCAGCAGGGATTTGAGCCGCCGACCATGCGATCGGCAAGTCCTAGGCGCTGAGGTTTTACCACAGCGCCACCCGCGTCCCATAATGCACTTTAGAGCACACTTAAAACTTTTAATTTGCAGCTGTAGAGCTGAATCCACAGAGACGGAGAGAGACAGGCCCGCTTTCTCATTACCAGGTTCTGACAAGTACATTTGGTCTCAGGTTTGCTAGAGAGTGAATAGGATCTCGGGGTTTTAAACTTAAAAGCCAGTTTGATGCAGTGCAGAATCCTGCACAGATTTAAACTGCTTAATGCTATAATCCTATACCCACGTACCTGGGAGCAAGTCCCATTGAACTCCATGGGATTTGCTTCAGAGTGGGCTTGTCTAGGATTACACAGTAAATTCCATTTGAGATTGATCAGCCGAACTATGCCCACAACTTCAACCAAAGTTTTTAGGGGAAATATACTCACTGCAGAATAGACGAACATTTTCCTCTTTTCTGAACCTTTAGCAGCCCTGGAGATTTTTTCTAGAATATTTTTCACAAGAAGACCTTAGTAGAAGTGAGATAGTGTTGATATTGATGGAGAAAAAATACTGCAAAATTACTAAACCTACAGTCTGAATCTCACTTATCTGGCAGTAAGCGCCATTGAATTTACAGAGGAATGAACTCTTGAGTAGTCAAGGTTAGGATTGCCCTGTAACGTGTGAGGTTTCTATACAGGATAGCATCTTGAAGCAAAGTTCTTAACCCGAGGTACTATTTCTGGGTTAGCATAGTCTGTAACCTGAAGCATCTGTAACCTAAAGCGTCTGTAACCTGAGGTACTACTGTAATGAGATACTTAGAAATAAATACACTTACTGAAGCATCACAAGTGTGATGAAATAATATAAACATAAGTACTGCAAGGCAACTATGGCAAAGCTAGAAGGGACATGATCCAACCAAAGGTAAGCACTTTAGGAACGCAGCCAATAATTTGAAGTAGGAGGGCACGTGAAATGTCAGTGCAATGATGGGAGTGCTCATCTAATACAGTGAGATGAAATTCAGGTCAAGCAACACCTGAGCGTTTCCTTTCGTGCCTCAGTTTTTGTGGGTGTTTGATACTACATCATGTTGTTTGCATGGAGGTATTAACAGCTGGCACAATCTACTGGGCATATAGGTGATAGATCTGTAAACTGGAAAAGCTGTTTCCAAGTTCCAAATGGTTTGCTTTAGCTGCAGTTAAAAGACACTTAATAATTTTCCCATTCAGTTGTTTTAAAAACCACAAGGCTTTCTAAAAACTGAAATGCGTTCTATGTGGGGTGCCCCAGGGCTTGCTTCAGAAGGTGCATTTGCAGCAGAACATGGCGGTTAGGATGCTAAATGGGGCAACCTGTTCAGGAGTGGTTCACCAGGTGGGGCGGAGCCACAGCAATAACTTCCCGGCAGCAGTGACACAGTGCCAGTTTGATGCTGGGTCCCTGGTGGGAGTGCCAGTTTGTGTCTCTTCTGGTGCACCACACATCCCCAACGTTGTTGCTGACTTTGTGTGTGTGTGTATTAATATTTTCTTGAAAATTTTATCAAAAAGGTTTCGATGATAAAGAAATAAAGTGATACAAAGAAAAAGAGAAGAAGAAAAACAGACACAAAAATGTGTAGGAAAATATATATGAATACATACGAAAAAAATACCCTAACATTCTTGTTACTGCCAGGAGGTTATTGCTGTGTCTCCGCCTCATCAGGTGAGCAGCTGTTGGACCTATCATCAGCACATAACACCTGTGCTGAGGGATCTACACTGAGGGATCTACCATGGTACTGGGCCAGGTTTAATGTTTTAGTACTGGTCCTTAACAGCTGGGACCAGGATACCTTTATCCTATACAGTGGTACCTTGGGTTACATACGCTTCAGGTTACAGACTTCACTAACCCAGAAATATTACCTCAGGTTAAGAACTTTGCTTCAGGATGAGAACAGAAATCGTGCTCCGGTGGCGCAGCAGCAGCAGGAGGCTCCATTAGCTAAAGTGGTGCTTCAGGTTAAGAACAGTTTCAGGTTAAGAACGGACCTCTGGAATGAATTAAGTACTTAACCCAAGGTACCACTGTATATGTTAGTGTTGCAGTCATAACGGGAGATGCTTCTTGCATTGTTGCATGCTCCATGTTGAAATGCAGCTTTTAGTGCAGCAGCCCCAGTATTATGGAACGTCCTTCCAATGGATATCAGACAAGTGGTGGCCTTTTTGAAATGTTTTCTTAGTGTTATAAACCATGAGTGTAGATCCACCCTATGTATGAACTTAAAACTCCAGACCACTGGGCTATTGCATTTTTAGTCCAAAATAAGCACACTGAAAACCAGATTATTGCACTGCAGTCCACCTCAGCTACTCCTCAAACTATTCATCTATCATCAAATATTTTTTGCCTGTTTGTCCATTTCCACATATTTGGAGCCCTCTAGGGCTCGGATTGTCCTAGGAATGGGGTGACTATCTTGTGGCTCTCCAGATGTTTCAGGGATACAAATCCCATCATCCCTGACCACTAGCTGGTTGGCACTGGTTGGAGTTGGACTGCAACAACATCTGGAGGACCACCAGTTAGCCACCCCTGTCCCAGATCCTGCATCCTTCGACTGGGGAGGCAAAGATGAGTTATAAGCCCAGCATGTGCCACAATAAAACAGCAGAAACAAAATGAACATGTGCTCCTCAACACACTGCTCCCTCAGTTAAGATTCTCCATCCCTGATTAAAATTGGCTTGCACTGATTAACCCACGAAGGCTTTTTGTTAATTAAGGTACCAGTTATACCAGTTAAGAGCACCCAAGCCCTAAGGCCTGTCTTGTTTCAGCTAGAGTGTGCTGCAAAGCAAGAGAAGTCAATCAGTGAAAGGGTCTTGGTTACCTCCTTGCAGCCGCGCCTTCTCTTCTCTTTTGTAAATCCCAAATAACGACGACAAGGATAACACGGTCAGCTCAGCCAGTTTTGCCCTCACCTCTTTAGTAGCCCACACAGGAAGTGTCAAATTGTGAATAGACTGCAACAGAAAGAAGCACATTACTCTTATTTTTGAAATACCTTGTTTTGCAGCTCTGTTTTTTATTGCCATGTTGGGCCATTGTTTCTTTGTGTGTGTGTATTGTTTCAGGAAGTGCAAATTGCGTAAATTCAGATTAAAATGCAGACTGAACTATTTTCTCACCCATCTCTACCTCTGGGCTCCTGCCATCAATGTCACACTTGGATTTGCTTTCTGACTCTGGCAGGACCCCAGGATCCCTCTAAGTAGTAAATCACAGTATGGATTCTACCTTGCTCTCCTGCACACCAAAACCATGCCGCAAAAAGCTGTTGCAAGCTACATGGTTGATATAGTCCCTGTTCATAGATGGAATAAAAACTAGTAAGGCTCTGGAGAGCTCAAATTTGGGAGTCTGGAAACAAGGCCTGGAAGCTTTATTCTCTGCACCTACCAAGGAAACTTGAAGGCAGAGAGAACGGCGAGTCTAATGCCATCGTGTCTGAACAGAAGCGTTCAGGCAGGATCAGGTGATTTGAGAGCCAATAGAGCTCTATATGGCTTTATATTTTTGCTGTCTGTGGCCTTGATTTTAAGTCTGAGCAAATTTTCATTCGGATCAGATTGAGGTGCCATAGGCTGGACCTGTTGAGATGTAATGCCAAATGTCTGTTGAGATGTAATGCCCTTATACAGTGGTACCTCGGGATGCGAACGGGATCCGTTCCGGAGCCCCGTTCACATCCTGAATGGAACGTAAGGTGCGATGGCGCATTCAGCGTGTGCGCAGGTTGCGTTTTGCCGCTTCTGTGCATGTGCATGACATCATTTTGAGCGTCTGCGCAAGTGGCGAAACCCGGAAGTAACGCGCTCTGTTACTTCCGGGTTGACGCGGAGCGCAACCCAAAAGCGCTCAACCTGAAGCACATTCAACTCGAGGTATGACGGTAATAAGACTCAAGCTCATACAATCTTTCCTTCACCTCCTTGCTGTCTTTTCTTCCATTGCTCTCTACAAGATAGCAACTTCAGGTCTTGGTTCAATGTCAAACCATAGCTTGCCATTCTATCTGCAAAGGCAAACTATGGTTTGTGCTTGTCTGCTAAATCAGGGATGGGAAATCTGTGACCTACCAGTTATGGCTGAACTCCAGCTCCCATTAGGAAAGCGGGGAAAGATGTAGATCAGCAACACATGGGTGTGTGTGCACAGATTATCCTGTTTCCAAACCATGGTTTACTGTTACATCTGAACAGCCCCAGTACTTGTACCTTTCTCTGGAAATCCTACCTTTATCTGACAAAATATTCTAATGAGTTGCAAAAATATCCACCTTCCCATCACTTTTCTAAGCCAAATAAAATTTACGTGTAGACAAAACATTCCATATTTTCTTTAACTATTATGCACTTGTATAGGAACACCTTCACTCCTTTTAATTTTCTTAGGTGCCACTGAATAATTAATTATAAGTCAGGGTTTTCTCCCTGTCTGATGGGAGAACTCAATAAAACTGTAAAGATTTTTAAAAAGAGAAAAATACCTCACAGAATAAAGTATCCTGTACATGCCAGATTTTGAAGTTGACCAAATTGGTGAGATCTTGAGGGTCATATCCTGAATATAAACCTATGGTTTTTATAAATTCCTGAAAAGAAATGAGAACACGAATACTTCAGATGCAAATCAAACACCAAGATTTTCTAATACTTTCATCGCACAGGTTATGATTCTGCACACTGCTAAGCATGGATAGGTGGGTGGAATGTAGTCACTTGCCACTTAAGATTTCATAGGCTGCAGTTCTCCCTATAGGTAAGTCACATTAATATCCATCTTATGTATTATTACACTCTGTGTGGAGGATTGTAGCCATAGGCTCTGCACTAACACTGTGGCTTGTTTCAGTTGATCATACCTTGGCTTAATAACTAGCTGAGATATAAACTTAGCCTCGTGCCTGGGTACACAGCAGTTTCCTTATTCCCTTTAAAGTGCACCACAATTTATCCCAGAATTAACCCTAGTTTAATTAACCATAGTTTCTCGTTCCATCCAAAGTGGATAAACAGGAAATGCAGGATCTTAAACCAACTTCAAGCATGTTTTAAGACAGGGTTGCTATATTTCAAAAAGTGAAAATCCGGACACAAAAGCTCTTGACCATTTTTGGGGAAAGTTGTTGAGCTTTTTGGGCAAAATCAATATGTATGGATTTTCCTGGACATTTTCCAATATCTGCCCAGACACTGTTTCCAACTGCAGTATTCTGGGTATGTCTGGAAGATTCTGGATGTATGGCAACCCTAGTTTGTGATCCTGGCTTGTTCCGAGCTTTCTAAACATTAATTTCTCAGTTTGGAATAATTAAGGGATTATAGTTGACTGAAGATTTCCTGGTTAACACAGGAAGGAAGAGGTGGCATCCGAACACAATGTGTGGGCAAATTACTCATCTGAACTGATAATCTGAACTGGGCCTGTGTTTATTGTTCGGCATGCATAGGTCTTTGCATATAGAAATACTACATGTTTTAAGTAAGCTAGTTTTGATACATTGAGGTTTAATCTAACAGCAATGCAATTACCCACTAGAGTTCGAAATGTCTGGACCTAGGCTGTAGTTGAAATATTACTGACACAATACCCATCCCCAATCCTGCACAAAGTACCTTGTAAGGTTGAATTTTGGCCTGGAATTCACTAGAATGCATCGTTTCCTTCAGAAGTTCCAGGTAGCGTGGACAATTTAAAATTGGATAACGTAATTTCTGAAACAAAAACGACACAACTTGTAACCATAGCTGTCAACTTACAGATTTGAAAATAAGGGACCAGCAGCCTCGAAAATAAGGGACCAGCAGCCAAAATAAGGGATTTTAGTCAACCAGCTGAAATACGAAGTTAAAAGGGACCAGATAATTTTGGAGAGCAGCGCCGGTTTTTAGCCCTTCGTTTCCAGAGGTTGCTGCTCAAGACACCAGCTGATGAAACACTGCAATTAAATAACTACAAGCAGCAACCACTTTTCGCGCAAAACGACGTCCAAGCCACGAAGATGCTGCTGCAGTTCTGTATCTTTTCTCTCGTGCTCCATCTGCAGCTCTCAGTTCCATCAGGCAGGGCGGGAGGAAGGGGGGGGGGAATAGCGCCCGAAGTAAACCCGCAGATCAGACTATCTAGGCTAGTTTACCACTACAAATCTATGGGAGAAGCGCTTGCGGTCCTTCCTCCGCTTTCCCCCTCTATGGTTAGCCCTTGGAACACCTGCCCTCGCCTCCGCCTCTGCCTCCTCCTCCTCTCTCTGAACTGCTTTCTCTATGGTTGCCCTTGCTCTCCTCTCAAGGCTCCTCAGTCCCGGCGGGGAGGGGCTCCCGGGGGCCGAGGCTGGTGAGAGGAGGCTGGAGGGGGGCGGGCTGGGCAGCCAAGCAACACAGTTGGAGCCTCCCTCCTCCCTGGCCGGCAGGGAAGGAGGGAGAGGAGCTGCTTCCTTTGAAACCCGGGAAATTTAAGGGACATCATCAATAAGGGTCAACAGCGGGACACAGTGCTGGGATAAGGGACTTTCCCGCCAAATAAGGGACGGTTGACAGCTATGCTTGTAACTGCCTTCTGTCTTACTTCAAGCTTCTCAGCTGGGTTTTTGTAGAATGCTTATATCTATGTAGGATTGATGTTTGTCACAATGACGCCATTTCTGAATTATACCTGTCTCATAACCTGCAGGGGTTCATTGGCTTGAAGTCACATGATTTAGTGATCTCGCCATCCATACACATACAGTAAGCCCCACTGAACTCAATGGGAGCTGCTTCAAAATAGACATGCTGTTAATATACTAACAGAATAAAGTGAAGATGATCACTGAGATATTTTCTGGTTGTCAGAATGACGTATTGTAACATTGGTCTTGCTTTGAGAACAGACTTGCTTTTTTGTTTTGTGTTTTTCGTTTAGCCTAATAAGTTTCCCCCCTAAAATAAATGTTTACTTATTTTTAACATACAGGAAAATAAGATACATTTTGTCATGAACCATATAAAAGGGAAAGCAAAATCTAATTGCAACAAATACAGTTTGGATTAGAGTTAACTCTCTGGGCAGGCACATATTAAACATCTTCATTAGGGGATTTACTCAGGTAAATACATCAAATAAACATCTGAATCATTTTATTTTATTTTATTTTTATTTTTTTCCGTTTTCCATTTCTGGGCATAGGGTTGCCAAAACTGAAAACACAATAAAGGGGATTGGAACCCCTGTAGAACTAAAATTATCCAAATCTGTTTAGAAACTGCATATTGAGACCTTCCATGTTCCTGTATATTAACGTACATTGCACAACCATGCCATACCAAAATAAAATTATCTTTCTTATTTTGGCCTCTAAGCACTCTTAATTTGAATGTCATTTCCCTCCGGTAACAATATGTCCCATACCAGTAAACCAGGTTCACTCATATCAAGTCCCTGCAGAGTTTTGCAGTTGTGAATTGCAAATGAGAAAGTGCCCAACTAATTCCTTAATGTACATAGCAGTGTAATCCTCAGTGAATAAAGGAGATATTGCCTGTTGTGGAGAAGGTGTCACTTGGCACCTTATAATAGTTCCAGTTTCATGGACTGCTATATCCCCAAAGCATTTAACCTATGAGCATTCCCACCATAAATGCGAGTATGTCCCAAGGGCTTGGCGTCCCAGTGAGGAACTAGAGCTCATGTCAGACAGTCTGTGTGGCGTTAAGGAGCGTCTATGAATCAAGGAGTTGAGCCTAAGAAGTTTTGTTCCTTTTTCTATCCTCCCAACATCTGATGCAAACATTGCAGGCCAAAATCCAGAAATGAGTGGAAGACAGATGAGAGAAGGTGGGGAAGAGATGATCAAAATTCTTACTTCTTATCCCTCAAAATGTGTGCTATATAATTCTTGCTTTTCCAGCTTTGGGAATGGCTGCTCAGTGTGGTATCAAGACTGCAGCTTGTTTCTGTTTGGCAGGGAAGCATCCTCAGACTCAAGCTAAATTAATATTCAGTGTTCTCTCTTGATTAATGAGTAATGCAGCGTGTGGGGAGTTGCACCACCTCAGCCTTCACAAAACTCCCTCACCCACCACTTAGTGAAAAGAGGAACCTCTCGCATTGGTATCAATGGGAGTTTCCGTCTACAAAAAGATAAAAAAATAAATAAAAAACTAATTGGCTCTGTGTGAGGAATGTTGTCAGAACTGTGAGGTTGAGCATGGGGTGGTTTCACCTCAACGCCCCACACTCTGCATTGCCTGACACAAGGGAGTTTTGGTGAGGAGATTTTGAGGGGAGAGTCGAGTTCTGAGAGAGAGGCCATGGAGAGTGAATAAAAGACAATGAGAGAGAGAGAACATCAGCCATTTGCCCTTGCGTCACATTTCCTGAGCAGCAGCTCCACAGTGACAGCAATTGAGGCCAGGCTTCCTCAACCTCGGCCCTCTAGATGTTTTGAGACTACAATTCCCAGCATCCCTGACCACTGGTCCTGCTAGCTAGGGACCATGGGAGTTCTAGGCCAAAAACATCTGGAGGGCCGATGTTGAGGAAGCCTGCTTGAGGCCTACAGTTCATTGCAGCACAGATTATGTGACCAGGAATAGGTCTAAGAGATTCACTTGTGGATAACTGCCAGTTATTAGACTCCACGTGACTGGTGTAGTAGCTCTTGCCCAACTTGCAATTGCTCTTGCCCAACTTGCAACCAACAGGCATCAAAATGAGAACTAATTATTCCTGGCTCTCCTGTTACTTGACAGATGATTATGATGACGACTGATGAAACTCTCTTGGTTCGCCCTGGGAAATAACCTGCCTATCGTGATACTGCTGGGAATGGGTTGTAAGGGAGAACCCAACAAAAGGTTTTGAGGAAACAATTTGAGACTTGCAAGGGAGACGTGTCTCCATTGTGCCCTTTAAGAAAACTCTTTCCAAATGTCCTTTAGTCTCCAAAGCTACAAAAACCTTAAAGCAATAAAAGATACTGCGTGCTTTCTGCAGCACCATACAGTGTGGCGTAAGATACTGCTCGGATCTTTGCCAAAGCTCCTTGCAGCTCTGAAACATCTCAATATATTTTGCTGCTTGCGAAAGTCCAGTCGGTGCTACTGTTGTATGAAAAAATATAATAGTAATAGACAGAAAGCTTTATATAGCTTTATATACATGTACAAGCTGTAGCATCATCCTTTCATGAAAACAGTACAGTGGATACAGAGTTGTCTGGTTTTGATGTGCACGTTTAAATCAGTGTTGGGATTGGCCCTGATAACAGATACAACATCACACCAGCTGCAACACAGCCAACTATCCCTGCATGAGAACAAGACAGTTCGCTATGTCAGAACTAGAAGTCAAGGAATCAACTCATCCTCAAAGGGAGCTCGGCCCCCAAATCCTGAATTCAAATGCTGTTTCCCTCAGCAGAAAGTAAGGCGGGGCTATAAATAAATGAGCTACAAATGGTAATGTGCTTCTTCTATATGTTGCAGAACCTCTGATTAAGGGAAATGATTATTTTAAATGAACATTTGCATACACTTCCTTCTCGGTATACTGTATGAGGTTTCTGAGGAAGAGCCTGGAAGGCAGACAAAATTGGTTATGACTCTGGTACTCACCGGATTTCTTTCCTTTGGTACAACATGCACCGGGATGGGTTGCCACAGGATTTTAGGAATTCCAGATTTGATCACCAGTAGGAGGGTACATACCAGCAAGATTTGCTTGGGCACTCATAATGGTTCGATCACTTTCGGTACTCTGGATCAAAATCTAGAAAGGATTAAGGGAGTGTGTCAAGACCCAGGACCTGGACTCAGAAACCTCTTCATTAGAAGTGGGAGGGTGTCATGGGATCTGAGGGCATCTCAGCTTGGTAGCCTTTGAGGGACCCTCTCTAGCAGAGGCCTCTACTGATGAAGAGGAATCAGTGTATCCAAGGACCATGCTTCATCTGTTGCCAACCCAAAGGAATGTGTCTCTTCGAATATCATCAGATACCAGAAGCTTTACTCCAGAAATTTCCTTTATGCTACGCCCAGAAGTGGCAACCGTTGATGGAGGAGACTTATTAACTCCACTGGAATGTTGATGAATAATATCAAAACATCCCTTGGGTTTTCTCAGAATCTGATGTTGTTATGAACCACACCAATCCCTTTCTTGAAAATTCCCTTACCCACCTCTTCTCGTTTATATTCAGCACTCAGGAAGTTTGAGTACCTCTTCTTTATGTATTTTCCAAGTTCATACTGCTGCTGCATTCCAATCTGTGGGAGCAACAAAAGATACATGATTTCCTCTTGAAGCCAGAGTTCAGTCTTATGGCTTTTCCAGCCCTTGTGGAGAGCCAAGCATTACCCACCCCGGCTGCTTTCCTAGGGAATGATTGAAGAAATGTGACAAAAATGATCAGAGGCTGGAGAGGATCAGTTTTCCATGCAGGTGGAACCACCATGTGACCCTTTTGCTCTTAATAATAAACATTTCAGAGCCAGGGGTAGGGAACTGCTTTCTGCCAGAGTGCCGGATCCAAACATAGCAATTCCTCCACAGGCCAGGTCAGTGTTTCCCAAACTAGGATCTCTGGCTGTTTCTGACTATGATTCCTATCATCCCTGACCAACGGTCCTGCTAGCTAGGGATGATGGGAGTTGTAGTCCAAAAACAGCTGGAGATCCAAGTTTGGGGGACACTGGGCCAGGCTAGCAAATGGTAGGGCTGCCCACTTGTCAAGCACATGACATCGTATGCTGTCAGATGTGAAAAAGTTAAAGCCACAGCTGCAGATGTGCCATTGGGAGTGTGCTCTTGATGGTTCCTTTGGAGCCACAGTTGAACCTTTGGTGCCATTTGAATTTGGTGCCTCTCCCTGTTGCACTGCAGTTGGCAGGAATTGGATACACTTGGAGTGAGCAAGAACTCCTGAGTATCTGATTCCAGTTGAAAGCAGCATGACAAGGTAAGGTGCCAAGTACAAATGGCACCCAAACTAAAGCTGTGGCTGGAAATGAACAGTTGGCAGTTTACTCCTGGTAGTCCTTTGACTCAACTTCACATGGGACGTGGCTGCAAAGGCTTGGGCGCGATTGTGCTCCTGATGATTCCTTTGCAACCATGGCTCAACCTTTGGCACTGTTTGCATCTGGTGCCTTTCTCTGTTGGGTTGAATTTGAAAGGGATTTGATACACTTGAGAGGGAATGAGGTTTCCTGTGTGCATCTGATTCCTGCCCAAAACACGGCATGAGGTGATCGACAGGTGGGTGCAGCTTGGCTGAAATGGTCTTGCAGGCCCAAATAGGATGGCCTAGCAGGCCTAATCAAGCCCATTGCCGGAAGGTTCTCGACTGCTGTATCACAGACCCATTGCCCCTTTTATTAGGGCTGTGCACCATATTCACCCAAGTTCCAAGTCCTGAGCCAAATCAGGCACATTCAGAGGGATTTGGGTGTTGGATAAGTCAGGTAGAGACAAGCACTGATCACTACAGGTCAGGTTAGGTGGCCCACTTCAATCTGTGACTATCAGAGAGTGGGGTATCATGTCTCTTAGAGATAGAATGAAATTTTGTACAAATTCCAAATTCCAGAAGTCTAATTCTTGAAAATTTTCAAACCAAACTTTATGAAAAGCCAACAAACCTTAGTCAGTTGTCCAAATCCCTGTGGCCAGGCACTTTCATTGTGTAGGCTGTTAGGATAGACTTCAATAGGGCTTCTGTCACCATGCCGATAAATCTAGTAAAAGAGAGAGAATAATGCTAAAGTAAAATAGTCTACCTGACCATAAGACACACCTAGTTTTTAGAGGAGGAAAACAAGAAAAATAATAATATTCTGAATGAAACAGTGGATGTTTTATTTTTGTGGCTCATGCTGTGGCCACAGACATGCTATGTGATCTGATGGTGAATTTGGGGTGACCCAATGCAAAAATCCTGAGGATCCATGTGCTTTTACCTCCCCCCTCCCAGGCAGCCTCCTTTATCTCTAGAGCCCCTTATCTCCCTCCACAATCACTTGCCAATCAGCTGCTCAGCGGCTTTGTTTCAACACCCCCCTCCCTCTTGTTTGCCTTAGTGTCTTTTCCTTAGCTGGAGCAGTTCTTTGCTTCTCCTTTGCTTCTAATTTTTCTCCTCATTGCTTGTTTTAGTATTCTTGTCTCCTTGCAAGTTCACTGTCTTTACCTCCCCCTTCCCAGGCAGCCTCCTTTATTGCTAGAGTCCCTTATCTTCCTCCAATTGCTTGCTGATCAGCTGCTCAGCGGCTTTGTTTCAACACCCCCTTCCCTCTTTCTAAAAAAAAGCAAAAAAAAAAAAAAAAAAGCAAGATCTGCTTTTTGCCCATGGGTAATTCGGCTCCAGGGACCACACATTCACTCCATAAGACGCCCAGACATTTCCCCTTACTTTTTAGGAGGAAAAATGTGTGTCTTACGGAGTGAAAAATACAGTAATTATGATAGAAATTGGGCGGGGGTGGGGGATTCAGCAAGCACCAAAACATAACTTCACTTGGGGGCTAAATATTAATAATATATTATGCCAGCAGCAAACTAGGAAAGGCTGTGAGGTAAAGATGGGGGAAAGTTGAAATAATTTCTTCAAGTCTGTTCAGCCGATACAGTTTTAGCCTTCCAATTTACTTTCAGCAACTTGATGAGAAGGATCAGCAGAATTTAACTTGGATGGCTCGCAAGCTCCTTTGTAACACCAGTGATATGCAGCAGTAGCAGTCAGATGATAAGAAGGCATCACTCACCTGACCTCACTTTGCCCATGTTCCTACAGCTCACTGGGAGGTGGAGGAGGAGATGAAGTTGGTGCGATGCAAACACACCAGCAGAGCCATTCTGGGCCTCCTGCCAACGCGTTTGCACCCTGCCACCTTTCCCCTTTTGATCTACTTGCTAGTAAGCAGAAGCAACATGGGTGGCAGGAGATCAGGTGAGTGCTACCACACCGCTGACCACTACTGTAAAGCAGTTATGGGGAGTGGGCAAAATGAGAGAAAGAAAATAACATCTCCAGGCAATTGAAGTTGCCTTGAAAGCTGCTCCAAGCATGTATCATTGATCTCTACAAAGCCAATATTAGTGGGTTCCCCTCCCCCCCACCTGCCTTCTTCCACAGAACTCAGATCCTGGGGCATGTGGGTGGGAGCCAGCAGTGGTAGCCCACCCCCCTTCCTCCTGGCCATTCCACTTAACCATTCCCCTCTATCGGAGGACGGAGTTGTGTATGTCCTGCAGCTTGCTGTGCTACCCTTAAGTTAGCCTGCTGTCCTCAGGTGTGGTGAAGAATACTGTCCCAACACTAGTATTAAATAAAAATAAACTTCCAAGCCAGTCAGCTTCTGCCTGTGGAATGCGGGGGTGGGACGGGACCGACTTGTTCTCAGACAGCAAAACGCCTTGGGCTGGTCCTGATTTGGAAGGGATGTGGAAGTAATATATCACCTTGTCCTTATCTGCTCAGCGCTATTTGCTCGTTCTGTTAATGGGGTTTGTTTGTAAAATGCTGGAAGTTCAAGTTCTTCTGCTTCCATGGAACACGCCTATGTATCCACTCCAGCCAAATCCACCTTGCACTTCAAACCAGCTTCAAAGGCACCAGCACTGTGCAATTTCAGAGATTTCTTACTATTACCTCTACCGTATACATTGCCCATAAAATAATAAGGGATGTTATGGGAATCCTTTAATGGGGAAAGCATAAAGCATTGTTTTGCTGGATAATCAGACCTAAGCAAATTGTTTCCCAAAGCATAAAATTGGGATCTGAACTGAATCATTACTGCATGTGTATACCCATTGTCTACTTTCTCCAAAATGTCAATATCCCTCCGAATATCAGTTATGAGGTCTCATGAGCAGGAAAGGGCTATTGCAGTCATCTCCTTCCTTCCATAGGCATCAAGTTGGTCATTGTGGCGACACACTAGACTGGTCTTTGGTCCTATCCACCAAGCCTCTTATGTCTTCATGACTTCAGCTGGTTCAATAGTATGTTTTATCCCTTCTATCAGGATGCTGCTCTATGCTCACCTTGTAAAACTGTATATCTATTTACATGTAGGCTGTGATTATCCTCCCTTTGAACCTCATGTATCTGATAGAGCAGTATCTTAATGGCAGCAATCTAAAATGGCTGCTCTTTCGAGTTTGTTTATAGATGAGCTCATTACACTTGAAGGCCAGGAAGCATTTCAATTGTTAACTTTATATTCTTTAACATTCTGATGCATGTTACATCTCTAAAAGCTATAGGCAGACTGCAGGTTCTTTACTAAAGAGGCATAAGCTCCCTCATTAAACACAAGTGCATCTTAAAATAATTCAAGCGACCGGCAGAATGTGTTAGCATCAGTTTTTAATTTATAGTGTACAGTCTTACTGAACTGTGGCCCTCTAGCTGTTGTTGGACTACAACTCCCATCAGCCCCAGGCATCATGGCCACTGGTCAAGAATGATGGAAGTTGTGATCCTGCAACATCTGGAGAGCCACAGGTTCCCCGCTCCTGTAAATGTAGAAGGGAGGAAAACCATGTACTACCCACCATTGAAAGTCTAGTTAATTCATGAAACCTTTGGAGAGCTGTACTCCAACTAAGTTTAGACACACTGAAATGAATGGACCCAAGTTAGTCATATCAATTACTTTCAATGGGTCTTCTCTGAGTAGAACTAAAATTGGAAACAGCCCCAAGAATTTCGCCTTGAAGAACCCACAAACCAAATGCATAGTAGTAATGAAAGATTTGCTTTCCTTTACTTACTAAGAGCACAAACACCAGCTCGCGACCCGATGCAGATTGAAGGAGGAGGGAACCAATGAAGCCAAGTAGGAAGAAATAGGAACACTTGGAGTTTCTCGCTGGATTTGTTTCTCCCATCCTGGCAGCAGACAGGCAAAAGCTTTGCCTTTCCTGCATCTGCTTTTTAAAGAACTCAAATGGGTGGACACATCATTGGCATTTGCAGGATGATGTGGCAATAAGATGACAACAGACGTATTTCTTAATCGAGCTTCTTTTGAAAAGCTGCAGTGTGAGTCCCAGGCAAGGAGGATAAACAAGGGAGGAGGGGCGAAAGCTTTTTTTCTAGAATCATTTGGCTCAAGAGGATATTTCTATATTGTGCTGCCAAAGGCAGAATCCCACACCTTTCTCCTCCCCTCACATCATGTAGGTGTGTGTGTGTGTGTGTGTGTGTGTGTGGATTTGTATAAGGTACAGAGCAGAAGATGACGGATATATCTGAGCAGGCCACAACTGCCCTATGCAGGCTGGCCATCCCAAAGTGGAAATATACTGCCTATATAAGCAGGGGCAGAGGAAGGGGTGTGTGGTAGTTGTGGGCCATCCTGGGTGTCACCACTGAGGGGGGTGACAAAATGCTGGGCGGCACTCACCGCAGGGCCTGCAGCATGCCCGAGCCACACGTCTCTCCTGCCCACTGCCTCTCCGCCAGCTGTATGGCGGCTGAGTGGGAGGAGGCAGGCAGATTCTGAGGCCCTGCAGTGTGTTATGCCCCTATGGGCTTCCTCCGACACTGTATATAAGGTACAGTGGTGCCCCGCAAGACGAACGCCCGCTAGACGAAAGGGTTTTCCATTTTGGAGGCGCTTCGCAAAACGAATTTCCCTATGGGGTTGCTTCGCAAGACGAAAAAATCTTGCGAGTCCCCGCGGTTTCCCCCTGCTTCCCCCCTTTTCCTAAGACGCTAAGCCGCTTATCAGCTGCTCCGCTGATAAGCCGCTTAACAGCTGATCGCGAAAAGCCGCTAGACCGCTGTAGCGCTAATCCGCTAAGCTGTCAATGGGCTTGCTTCGCAAGAAAAAAAAACGCTAGACGAAGAGAATCGCGGAACGGATTCTTTTCGTCTTGCGAGGCACCACTGTAAACCAGCTTTCTGGTTTACCTTATATACAGTGTGCCAGTGAGCCAGTGTGGTATAGTGGTTAAGAGCGGTAGATTCATAATCTGGGGAACCGGGTTCGCGTCTCCGCTCCTCCACATGCAGCTGCTGATTGACCTTGGGCCAGTCACACTTCTTTGAAGTCTCTCAGCCCCACTCACCTCACAGAGTGTTGTGGGGGAGGAAGGGAAAGGAGAATGTTAGCTGCTTTGAGACTCCTGAAGGGGAGTGATAAAGCGGGATATCAAATCCAAACTCCTCCTCCTCCTCCTCCTCTTCTTCTTCTTCTTCTTCTTCTTCTTCTTCTTCTTCTTCTTCTTCTTTCTAACAGTTTCCAAATTGTTTGACATCTACTCATTCATTCCTCTTTGTGACTTAATAATTATTTTCTTACTCAGGAATTCCATCTCCCTGTTGGCGACTCTGCCCTGCACATCTCACTCCTTGCGGCAGTGATGTTTATTATTATGAGGTCATAGATGTTGGGGTCAGTTCAGGTGGAGAGAGAGAGAGAGAGAGAAGGAAGGCATGAGCACCCATAGCAAAGGCATGAGTTGAAAGTTGGAATGGGCTTCCATAGATCTACTTATCAGGACTACTAGTCTCAGGGAGAATTGAGGGCTGGACGGCATTTCTCACCCAAAGCTAATGGGCCTCAGAAGGCCTCCCTTGGCGCATCATTTAATGTGTGGGGGCTGTGAGGAATCAGGAATGGTGCTTTCAACTGCTTCTGATCTCTGAGACAGCTTGGGGTCACGTGGGGTGAATGACGTAGTAGGAGACAGCATCTACAGTCTTGTGAATACATATAGCGGAGAATGAAAGTGAGCAATTAAAAAGACCTTGTACAATTGGAGATTGTAAACTTGTGGCCCTTTTTTAATCCAAGATCGTACATTTTGTTTCCTTGTTTCCTTGTGGATCTGCAACCAAGGTCACTGTGAGACTCCACCCCCCCCCCAAAAAAAGAGTAAGATTGACAGAAAAGAAATATTGACACAGCCTGGGAATGTTTTGACATTGTAACATAGCTATCAGTGGATCAGTAATGTTACTGGGATCAGCACCCCATCCATATTGTCCCTTACCTAAAAAGACTGGTTAGGTGAGATTTTCCTTGAGCAGGAACGGTCTCTGTTGTTGGCTCTTTTGGGTCATGGCTGTGTGCATGACAGCTATTAAACCACCAAGCAATGGCTCTTATTCCAGATTCTGTTTAAAAATCAGCAAAGGCTTGTCTTTCCTCTTTGGATTTTTGGAATGACCGGTACTTGGAAACAATGGTGCCTATGGGTTTGTAGGTGCTAAGTTCCTGGGTTCAGTAAATGTTAGAATTTAATTAGGGCGCTGGTGCGATAAAACTGTATGTCAAACTACCAAGTGTCAGAATGTAAGCTAAACCAGTGTGCATTAGGATGTGTGTTCAACCCACTTCCAAGCATCTGGTATTGACACATATGAAAAGCTAATTAAACTGGGCAAACTTCCTAAACTGTGTTAATTGAGTCAGTCTGATTTCCTTCGAGGTAGTAGCCTGGGGTTATGAGGTATTAGCACAAGTAAAGATCAAAGGAGTGAGGCTTCTCTTTGTATTAGAAAAGACCTGGGAAAGATCTAAACTCATGGTTTATAATACTAAGGGAGGGTTAAGGAATGATTTTTATAACGTAATGGGCACATTACATCTTGTTTGTAACGTTAATGTGTTATTACGTAACAATATTTTATGGTGTGGTAAAAAAGGGACGCAGGTGGCGCTGTGGGTAAAACCTCAGTGCCTAGGACTTGCCAATCGTCAGGTCGGCGGTTCGAATCCCCGCGGCGGGGTGCGCTCCCGGTGCTCGGTCCCAGCGCCTGCCAACCTTGCAGTTCGAAAGCACCCCCGGGTGCAAGTAGATAAATAGGGACCGCTTACTAGCGGGAAGGTAAACGGCGTTTCCGTGTGCTGCGCTGGCTCGCCAGATGCAGCTTGTCACGCTGGCCACGTGACCCAGAAGTGTCTGCGGACAGCACTGGCTCCCGGTCAATAGAGTGAGATGAGCGCACAAGCCTAGAGTCTGGCAAGACTGACCCGTACAGGCAGGGGTACCTTTACCTTTACCTAAAAAAGGTAAAGGACCCCTGGATGGTTAAGTCCAGTCAAAGGTGACTCTGGGGTTGCAGTGCTCATCTCGCACCGTGACAGAAACCAGAGTGCACAGAAACGCTGTTTACCTTCCCACCACAGTGATACCTATTTATCTACTTGCACTGGCGTGCTTCTGAACTGCTAGGTTGGCAGGAGCTGGGACAGAGCAACATGAGCTCACCCAGTCACGTGGATTCGAAAGGCCAACCTTCTGATCGGCAAACCCAAGAGGTTCGGTGGTTTAGACCACAGCACCACCCACATCCCTAACATGGTGTGGTATAGAAATCTGTGTCTGAAGCCCTGGAGTGCAATCCTTTACAAGGCCTTCGCAAGATGAATTTCTCTTTTTAACCAGCCAGTACCTACTGATGTTTTATTGATGTTTCAAATGATGTTTTATTGCTATTTATAGACTGATTTCATTACATCATGTATGATGTCAGCCACCTTGTTATACTTTATGAAAGTGTGGATTATGAAATAACAAATCCTATACAACTATACTCAAAACTACCTCTAGTTCACTTCCATGGGATATTCCCCTGGTTAAGTGGGCATAGTGTTGCAGCCTAATCCAATTAAGAAGTGAATAGCAAAATCCCATATTGTTCTAGCTGGGGCTTTTTTTTAGCTGGAACTCAGCAAAAATCAGTTCTGGTACCTCTCAGGTAGGTGCCATTGCCATTGTAAGAGAACAAGCGAGGTGTTTATGTTGCGTTTCAGCACATCTTTTTCTAGAAAAATAGCACTGGTTGTTTTTGTAACATCCAGCACAAACAAACAAACAAACAAACAAACAAACAAACAAACAAACAAACAGTGTTTCTGTTAGCAAACAGAAAAAAAATTGGGACACAGCTAGGCCTTGCCATATTATCTGGGAACAGGGAACTAGAGTTAAGGAATTTTCTTTCTTCCACAAGACTTTGTCGCCGCCTTTCAAAGCTGTGACTCAGAAAGTACAGAGGCTTGATTTGACTAAACACCTGGTCTGATTCTTATCTAAACGCATGCAAAGTTCTACCTACTGAGGAAACTCTTCCATTGCACCATAATATATTTGACTATTCTTCTGAATTTAATTCCTTGGGAGCAAAGTGGATCAGGAAAGAGTACAGAACTCTCCCTCACCCCGTAATCACAGGAGTGATGACATCATTTGCTGGATGTGGGATTTGTTAATACAATAGGAGGGTGGACAATAGGTGGACGGATCTGGCCTGGCACATGATCTTCTTGGCTCAGACAGGTCCTCCCAGCTAATGTGCCAACCACTACACCGCCCTTTGGTAGCTCACTATTTTGTGACTGTCCTAATAGACTGGACTCTCCTTGAGGGTGTGGGTGTGGAGGCTGTCATGATGAAGGAAGCAGCAAAGTATCAGCCTTGTAGGCAGGAGGCTCCAGGTTCAATCCCTGACATCTACAGGTAGGGCTAGAAATGGCCCTTGCCTGAAACCAGAATTCAGTAGGCAGATCTAATTTTACTGCCCTAGGAATGGCTTGGCAGTATGTCTTTGGTTGCAGATTGACATGGAAACAAAAGGCTCAGAATTCTCCTCTCGATCTCCTCTTTTCCAGGCTAAACATAACCATCTCCTTCAACTGTTCCTCAGAAGGCTTGGTTTCCAGACCCTTGATCATTCTGGTTGCCCTCCCCTCCATGGGTTGGGTGGTTTTTGGGTTTTTTTTAATCACTGCTCCCTGCTCATCAAATGAACAACCTGAGGACTGGGGAGGGGCATTGGCTAGGTGGAGAGGTTTAAATCTTCCTGTCCACACCAGTGCTGTGTCAACTTTGAAGAAGGTGGGAGGGTTGGTCAGATATTGGGGGCCAGAAACACTTGCATGTGAGGGTATATCAGGAGTTGGGCACCCCTGTTAAAGAGAGAGACAGAGAGAGGTTTTTTTTTTTGGTGATGTGATATTACTCAGTGAGTACTAGCACAACTTTTTTTTTTTTGCTGTTGCTGGCACCCATGACACTTTAATCTAGATCCAGGGTAGTCAACCTTTTTATACCTCCTGCCTACTAATGCATCTTTCTTGATGGTAAAATTTCCTTACTGCCCACCAGTGCTCGATGG